CAAATCCATACTGACTTTCTACATCAACCTCCGAAAGAATTGCATCCGACAATTACCTCCTAGTCATTTGAAGCTTGGGGCATGGACATCATTAGGCCAATCAGCCTGTCGTCTACCAAAGGTCATCGATTCATCCTGACCATTACATATTACTTCTCTAAATGGGCTGAAGTTGTTCCCCTCAGAGAAGTCAAGACATCTCAAGTGATAAAATTCTTGAGACATCATGTGATTTATTGATCTGGCATTCCTAGACGAATCATTCATGATAATGGCCCACAATTTGTCAGTCGACCGTTCTTCAAATTCTACAACAAGTACAGAATCCAAGATGTGTCTTCTGCACCATACAACCTAGTCACTAATGGTCTACCTGAAGCTTTCAACAAAACCATCATCAAACTTCAAAAAAAGTTCGTCTTCTCCAACAAACGAAATTGGGATGAGAAACTCGAAGAGTGTTTATGGGCTTACCGAATAACAGTCCACACTCCCACTGGCTCCACACCATTCTCATTGGTCTACGGATGCAAAGTCGTGACCCGTCTAAAAAATTTTGGTATCGCCATTAAGAATCACCATCGCTAAAAAATGACAATTTAAGAACATCATCAAGAGCGCCTCCAAGAACTAAAAGCGTTGGATGAGCTGAGACTTCAAGCTCAGCAAAGGATCAAGATCTACCAGTCATGGATCTCGAGGGCCTTCAATAGGAGAGTCAGAGAATGATCCTTCAAAGAAGGTGATTTAGTCTTAGCTGTTCGTCGACCCATGGTCATGATGCATAAGACTAAAGGAAAATTTTAACCCAAATGGGAAGGTCCATTTGTAGTAGAGATAGTCTACTCAAATGGAGCACATCGCCTAATTGACCAACATGGCAACAGGCTCATGGCGCCAATCAATAGGAAGTTTCTCAAGAAATACTACACATGATAGCGGCCAATTCTATCTCCCCATGGAGATTATTGGTCACGTTTAAATTTCCACCTTTGACCAGAAACATTGATCTTCTTGATCCCAAAATCTTCAATGAGTCATCAAGTTAACATCACACCTCTGCTTGACTCCAATATATCATTATCGCTGTTATGTTAATATTACACCTCTGAACAGTGTCCACTCCAAATATATCATTATCACTGCATTATACCTCTGAACAATACTGACTTGATCAAACTGTCATGTTAACATGACACCTCTGAACGGTCTCCCTTTTTTTAAAAATGATCTGACCGATTAACATTACACCTCTGTCAGACCATTTTGTTGACCGGTTAACATTACACCTCTGTCGACCTATCCTAGTGAATTTGACCAGTTAACATTACACCTCTGTCAAATTCGCTCTTATCAAAAATCGATTAGTTAACATTACACTTCCATCGATTTCCTATTGTTTAAGTTAACATTACACCTCCAAATGGTAGTCGTCCTTCGAACTCTCGTGAACAAGCCGGTTAACATTACACCTATGTTTTTTCACTCCTTTTTAGCATGTTAACATTACACCTCTGTCAAAATTCTTCAGTACGGTCATGTTAAACATTACACCTCTGAACAATACTAATCTTGCAAACCTGATATGTTAACATTATACCTCTATCAGTTTGATTCAACCGACCGTTAACATTACACGTCTGTCAGTTATCCCATTTGGCACATTAACATTACACCTCTGTCAAATATCTTCTCATTATCATGTTAACATTACACCTCTGAGCAGTGTCAACTTGATTAAGCTATTATGTTAATATTAATCCCAACACCTTCACCCCAAGCAAAGATGTTACTATGATACGTTAACATTACGCATCTATCATATACACGTCAAGGGAGATAAAAAGTTTTTTTACTTATTGAAAGAACAACAAAAAGATCGTTACATGGAAAGAGGATAAAAAGTGTGTATCTGTGCAACACACTAAGCCACTCATGCATCCCTGACTTCATGACCACCCTTCTGGGCTTTCTCCCTCAAGACTCTAGGATTGATGGGAATGGCCCGGGATCTAATGTCGGAGAGCCGCTCCATCTCATCTTGGAGCTCCGCAACCTGAGAATCTCACTTCTTAGTCGACTCAGCAAAATCAAGCTCAAGCTCTTCTTTCTAATGCTGAGCTACCTCCAAACGTGCATGAGCCGTAGCAATGGTCACCTTAGCTTCATTAATTATCACGTCCTTTTCATGGATAGCACCTTGAAGCTCTGTTTGGTGGCTATCATCCGATGCAATGACGTCATTCAAATCGTGGACGTTCATATTGTTTCGCTCCATTTTTGCACGAGCAGATTCACCGGTCTTACGATGAGCTGCTAGCAAGCGACGGAGTTTGACCTCAGCAATGCTATCAAGGTTAGCCGTGTGAAGTCCATATAGCTCTTGGTAATAGAATTTAGCTTTATCGATCACCGTCTTGAAGGGCTCGGTGCAGAAAGAACTAACGACCAAAGTCAAGATACCCAGCTGATCCCTCAACAATTTGAGAGTATGAGGTATGAGCAGATAACGCTCTCTATGAAGTTAAGGCAGTTTTGATACTCTAGTTAAACAACCTCGGCAAATTCTTCGTTAAGATCTTTACCTCCACCTCCACTAAGTCCTCAAGATCAGGGGATTGAGGAACCTCCACAAAGCTTGAAGGACCTACTTCAGTAGAGATCATCATCGCATCCGTGGTAGTCAAAGAGATGGTTGGCCCAACTTGTATCCACTCGTGGCCCAACATAAGATGCGTTGCAAGTGTCACCAAGATATCAGAGACAGTAGACAAAATCATCGTCCTTACGACCATCGCCGTGGTAGTAAGCACATCCGTGGGTACAAACTTAACACCCGTAGATGAAATCTCTGCCTCACTAGGAATAGCTATAGTCATGATTAGGCCTTCATCACAGGAAGGTTCAGGGCTTGTTGGCCCCTCCTGTTCAACCCATGTCGGCACGGCAGAAATTAAAACATCGTCATCATCATCAGAAGCACCATGAATAATTAATCTTCGCCGCACTAACAAAGCAGGCGATGGTACAGGAACCTCAATCATTTCAACTTTGGATATTGATGTCAAAATACTGAAAGCACCCTCAAAGGCAGTCGTTGGTTCAAAATGACCACTCGGAGGAAGAGACGGAGGAATCTCTTCACCCGCGATCCCGAAATCAGACTCATCATCTGAGCTGCTAACGTCACCGAAATTGCCTACATCTTCAGGCTCAGTTAGGTAAGCATCAGTGTCATCATGCCCATAATCCACTTGTATCTCTTCATCGTCAAGAAGAATGGGCTCCTTACCTACATAAAAGAAGTGCATCAGCTAAAAGTATTTCGTGATGAAAGTCGTGAATATGTGTGCAAAAGTCACCTGAAGATCCAACCTTAGGTTCTTGTGTTCGGACTACATGAGTATCCTCCCTAACCCTTGAAGAATCTCTAGGTACAGATTCAGGCTCAGGAGAAGCTAAGTGCAATTTTTTCGAAGAAGGTAGGGATAGAGGAACATGTAATGGCCTCTTTCCTTTCCCCCGTCCCCTATCAGGTACTTCTTGACGAATTGTCGACCCAATCAGCTCTTGAATGTTGATGTCAACCTGTCTTGGAGGAGTAGGGTGTTCACCTGGTTCTTCCCGGCCTTCATCTGACACACCCTCCACAAAAAACTCTCAAAGTCTGGGAACTTTGCTTTCTGAACCCTTCCTGTATAATTCCTTAAATCACCTGGTGATCTAATACAAGCCGATCTTGTTCACCTAAAACTCAGAATGAGGAACAATCACCTTGCTATACCACTTACAAAACTCCAACGTCATGTAACAGTTAGGTATGTGCTGAGGAAGCAAGAATCGTGCCCCGCGTAGCTCCCGCAGCAAAGTGGTACTAAGCACGAGCTCTGTCGACTAAGCTCTATATCCGTAGCAATCCTGGGTTTGGATTCCTGACATACAATTGATCATAGCCAAATTGACGAGCGAATAGGCATGGTAGATAGGGTTCGATGTAGCACTCCGTACCATTAAACCTAGCAACAAGGTGTCATGGTCAGATGTTCACCAACCAGTTGAAACACCCACTAGGCAAGCAAGTGAAGAGCTTTCCACTCATACCATCTTCAAACTCGTCCTCGAGGCTAACACCATCAATTGAGGGGAAGCAACAGTAGAGACGATAACAGTCTTTGCTTTGGAGAATCCTATGAACCCCAACAAGGTACTTAATGAGCCATTTCAAATGTTCATACCTCTGAAGCAAGGCAACGTTACCACTATCAGGCATAGCGGCTAACATCAACTGAGGGTAGTGTTGAGTGAACCATATTATCAAATAGGTATACGGTAGCTCTACCCTAGGATTAGGCACTTGATTCCTTAGGCAACTGTCCTCTTTTTCAGATATTCAGTAGCCAATTCCCTTAGGCCATGATTGTTGGCCTTCTTGTTTTAATGATGTTTAACAAACAATTTATTTCTAATATTGTTTGTCTAGTGTTTGTATTTTCGTATTTATTCTAGGCAAACAACGAGTTGGAGGATGGATGAAATCAAGCTTTCACGATCATATCCAATGGAGGTTAGCAGAATTGTAGAGTGAAGCTTACGCAATTCAAAGTTAAAGATCAAGTTCAAGCTTCATCTGCAAGTGTACCAAGTCAAGCTTATTGAAGACCTTCATCAAGCTTGGGTAATTTAGTTTAGGTTTATATTATGTGTGTTAAGTACTTTAAGCTTAATATTATACACACACCTTATATTGGTTTATATATATATATATATATATATATAGAGAGAGAGAGAGAGAGAGAGAGAGAGAGCATTTCAGGTACGCACAAACGCGTATGCATTCCGCCTAAAATTCGTGTGCAGGGTGTTTTTTGAAAAAATTCATCGCTTTCGTTAAAAAAGCTCCATCTCTCTCGTGACCCCATCTAGATCCCTAAAATTTCTGTCTCCCTCTTCCCCCTCCAAGACCCTTCCTCCTCCTCCTCCTCCTCCTCCCGCCTTTCGCTTCCGCCACATCTTCGACCTCTACGACCGCAACTCCGACGGACTCATCTCCCCTCTGAGTTCTCCCTTGCCCTCCGCCGCCTCGGCCTCTCCGTCGATCCATCCGACCTCTCCCCCTTCCTCCTCCCCCCACCCACCTCCCCGACGGGAGCGTCCCCGATGGCCTCGACTTCGACGCCTTCCAAGCCGCGACCAATCGCCGCCCACATCAACCCGTCACCCCAAAGCTCTCTCTCCCACCCCCCCAAAGCTCTCCCCAAAATTCCTCCGTGAGATTCCTCCCCCAACGCAGCAGGTAATCTCTCTCGATCCAATTAATGGGATCCAAAAAGTTGAGATTTTGATTGAGTTTTTAATGTTGGCAAAGCTTTTGGGATTCATGCTAGGCTTGCATCTGATCGGTTGTCGACGCTGGTGATTCTTCTTATTGGATCTCTTGAAGGGCTTGTCGAGTATGGAGCTCAATGGCTTGTTGTGAGGCAGTCGATCTCACCACTTTCCTATTAGTAGGTAAATTGCATGAAGTATTGATTTCATTTTTTGGGTTTAAGTTGTTAATAATGTGGTAACTTATTTATCTTATATTCAGTTCATAGTCAAACATGTCATTGTTTATTTCAGGAAATTATTATTTTTCAATGTATATATTAGTCTAGGTAATACGGGTCTTACACTCTTTTTTAGCCTAGTTTACTAAAGAAGTGTTATAGAAAGAAGTTAATAAGGAAAATATAGAGTGATGTTGGAGTTCGTATTAGTAATTTGTTACATGATCATCATTAATGAGTCAATTTAATTTGATTTTATCACCGACTACCACTTTCCATCGACATCCACTTGTTCATCTCCTTCAAGTCAACCATATATAGAACAATCTCATTCAACTTGAAAATTCCATTGCAAACCAAAGTTTTTGGCAGCCAACATTTGGTATGAAAAAAATTAGCCATTTGAACCAAATGTTGGAGCCATCTTCATTGTTGAAGGAGAGTGAGAAACATCAAGCTTTGTAAGAGTTGAGCACAATAACTATTGGTTCTATTTTGTCTGGTTCTTTTATAACGTGCAATAGGCAATTGTTTATGCGGAGGACACTGTTACTTTCCTGTGGACTATTAGATTTATCATGCTGACAATTTTTTTAGTCTAAACATAAGTGTAATGTGGTTTGAATTATCTGAATGTTCAAGTTGCTAAAACTGGCACATGTTATCAGTGAATCTTTTGTGGAGGCTAATTCTAACAAATGTGCAATCTTTTATGGAGGCTAATTCTAACAAATGTGCAATCTTTTATGGAGTTGTCACTGAATCTGAAAAGGCTAACATTGCTCTAGCTTTGGGTTTCTCTGAAGAGAGTCTTACCAATCAAGTACTAGGGTGTGCCTTTAATAAGCAAGAGGTTATGTCGATTGTAGTGACTTTGATTTCAAAGATTGCTAATCAATTTCAATTATGTATGCACAATGAAAAGGCTATTATTGTAACTTTCCAGCTTTATGGACATGGATCAAGTTTATGATTATATGTATCACCTTATTTTGGAGTACTCCAAATTGCAGGACTTCAAGCCAGCCCCTCCACCAAATGCTCAAGAGGTTTGTATGGAATTAGTTCTTTGTTTAGCGAATGATAAGAAGAAGCAATTCCTAGAGAGGTCGTATGCCTCTTCTACTCTTTTGCGTAGAAGAGCAATTGCAACTGCTACATTGAGTAACTTGTGTGATTTGTAAGAACCTTGAATTTTGGGAGTAGATTATGTATATAATTTGGATTCCGTTGGGTTTTTGTATTTTTGTATGGAGAAATATGTAAATTGGATGTTTCTTGTTATGTAAATTGGATGGAGAAATATATGTGTATAATTTATTACTTACTTTGTCGACGTTGCATTCAATTATGTTCTATGATTTGTAAATAGAAATGCAGGGGAATGTTATAGCTCAGCTTGTCAAATTGTTCAATATATGCATCTGTCTAATATGATATCAGCGATAAATTGTTCAATACATGCATCTTTCATACCAGTCGTACTTGTTCTAGTAGGAGTCCTTTCTTGCATTGGTGCCGAGCTCATGGCATTTGGAGACACTTCAGAGTAGAGGAGACAGTGGGGCGACGTGATGAGATGGCAGATATAGTGGGCCGTTCTTTTCTGGAGGAGGATCGGTATTGGTTGTCGAGCAGTGGATCTGATATTCGGGCTTTGACACGATTAGGCTATCTTATGAGGTTGTCGACTGCTGTGTGTAGAGTTGTTAGATCTGGTGGAGCTGCTTTAGATTTTGGTCGGCGTCGGATATTTGGCTACCTAGCACTTGGTCACATCGTGGATGTGAGATTGGATCCGATTGCGCATTTGGGATTCAGGAGTTCATTTGGCTATCAGTTGGGAGCTTCTGAGTTTGGTCTGAGCAGGTTTGTCACTTTGGACTCTCGGCAGGTGGAGAGTATTGATCAGGTCAGAGGGATATCGCAGCAAAGAATTCAAGTACATACTTTTTTTTTTATGGTTATTACATCTCCCAGTCCATTGTCAAGAAGAAGCTCATTCGGTGCATTGAGGTAAACACAATCAACAAATCCAAGAAAAATGATCACTTCCCTAAATTACAATGAAACTGGTTTAAGAACTTGGAAATACTTGATCATTCTACATCTTATAAACATGCATAGGTGACATAATATGTGCTATTTGAATATCAAACAGAGCATCCAAAGAGAGAACCTCAATGCTATGGTCTTTTTTAAAAAAATTCTACAAATATGGAAGGTTCAAAACTATTAACCAGTTTTTAGGGAAACTATTAGATTGAAATCAACCCTCTATGAGCAAAACTATTAACAAGTATACTGGTCTTATTTATTGCATTGATAACAATTATTACTAATCATGTTGGACAATTTGATCCAATGCACGTTGTTACAATCTAATTCACGACATGAATATGCCCAGGATGCTACATTTCAACAACAAGTACTTTATCAAATCATAGGAGCATATGTCTATGTAAAATGACATCTAAATATGGGCAACAAGAGAGCCCAGGATGCTACATTACAATTATTATCAATATGAAATATTCAACCATAAACTGGAAAAAATAGCAACAAACTGCCCAATTATTAAAACAAATCAAACCCAAAAGTAATTTTCACGCAATATACCTGCCAATAAGGAAGCGGTGAGATCGACTGCCTCACAACAAGCCATTGAGCTCCATACCCGACAAGCTCTTCAAGAGATCCAATAAGAAGAATCACCGGCGTCGACAACCGATCAGATGCAAGCCCAGCAAGAATCCCAAAAGCTTTGCCAACATTAAAAACTCAATCAAAATCTCAACTTTTTGGATCCCATTAATTGGATCGAGAGAGTGATCGAGAGAGATTCCCTACAACGTCGGGGGAGGAATCTCGCGGAGGAATTTTGGGGAGAGCTTTGGGGGGAGAGAGAGAGAGCTTTGGGGTGATGGGTTGATGTGGGCGGCGATTGGTCGCGGCTTGGAAGGTGTCGAAGTCGAGGCCATCGGGGACGCTCCCGTCGGGGAGGTGGGTGGGGGGAGGAGGAAGGGGGAGAGGTCGGATGGATCGACGGAGAGGCCGAGGCGGCGGAGGGCAAGGGAGAACTCAGAGGGGAGATGAGTCCGTCGGAGTTGCGGTCGTAGAGGTCGAAGATGTGGCGGAAGCGAAGCTTGTTGAGGTGTTCTGATTTGGAGACAGGAGGAGGAGGAGGAGGAAGGGTCTTAGAGGGGGAAGAGGGAGACAGAAATTTTGGGGATCTGGATGGGGTCACGAGAGAGATGGAGCTTTTTTAACGAAAACGATAATTTTTTTCAAAAAACACCCTGCGCATGAATTTTAGGCGGAATGCGTACGCGTTTGTGTGTACCTGAAATGCAATATATATATATATATATATAAGTTTTGGTTTCTATGCATATATATAGTTATATATTTACATACATGTGTTTTGGGTTTTTATGTTTATATATATGAAATTACATATTTCATACTCTATTGTGTTTTAGTATTTATTGCATAGAATATGCAATTTTATGAAAATATTGTATTCTCAGTTTATGGACTTAATAACAATCATATACATTTTCTATTAAGTCTACAAAATCATTTTGTAAAGTTTTAAAACATGGTTTAGCCAAAATGTCAAAATTCACATGTTTACATTTTCATGTTTTGGACTATTTTGTAAAATGATGATATTTTTCATTTGAGAAGTCCTTTTTGGAAACCAGTCTTTGTAGCATGTTTATTATCATGTCTACAATCATTTTCCAAAGTTTTATATTTTTTGGAATTTTTTTGATATTTTTAAACAGGGTTTTAAAATCAGCATTTCAGCTTTCAAAACCTGTTTTAGCATGTATCAGTTCGCAGTCGACCGCCACGGTCGACCGCTATAAAGTTCATTCGTCAGTGGGCAGCAGGTCGACCGTAGCAAGTCTAGAGACTTTCGCGGTCAACCGCCGCGGTCGACCGTCGCTTGTCCAGAGCCGTAGGTTGTTTTTTTGTCCCCGGCGGTCGCCCGCCGAACAGTCAAATCTGTTCTAACGGCTAGTTTCCAGATCCGTTGCTGTATTGGTTTTTTGGTCTTTTCTTGGCTTTCTCTTGGCTTTGGGGTTTCATATAAATACCCCCTTATACCTCAGTTCTTATAGCCATCCAAGAAATGTTTTAACAAGTTTTAAAAGAGTTTAAATTTGGTTTTAAGTTTGTTTAAGGGTTTGGTTTTTGAAGAATTCCATAAGAGGAAGTGGAGATCAATTCATTGAGCTTCAATCCATCTCTCTCTCTCTCTTATCATCTAGAGAAGTTTTTCTAAATTCAATTCTAGCTTTTATTCATAATTACTTGTTGATTATCAATTCTATTAAGCTAGTATTTACATTTGAGTTTAGTTGATTTTGTTTCACTCATTGTTTACACACACCCACATTGAGCTTATTGTATTTTCATACATAGTATATTTGGGTTGGTGAGAGTTGTAACAATTGAGTGTGAGCTTTCATTGTGTTCTCATCCCTAGAAAACCGTATTGTGTGGTGTAAACGTTATTCGGGTGAACGTAGGAAACCCGGTTGTGATAGTGGAGATCTCCTCGAGGTGAGGAGCAGAGACGTAGGTCGTGGGGACCGAACTCTGTAATCATATCGTTTGTTTATGATTGCATTGGCGCACTTATTTTTATGTTCATATCTTATATCGCCTTTGTATATTGCTTGTTGATTATATTGCCCACTATCTAGTATATCTTATTGCATATATATCATAGTATATCTTATTGCTAGGATATTTATCTTTGTTCATATTGCTTATTCTTGCTTGTAATATATTGTATATCTCTCTTGCAAGAATAATTTGTTAATTAGTTTTAATTGGCATAAAATCGGATTAGATTAGCATAAGACCCTAATCACCCCCCTCTAGGGTCTAACAATGATGAATACAACCCACTATCGTCAGTAGAAGAGCTAAGTTATACCGAGAGGCCAACAACATAGCGAGGATTAGCACCTTAACCGAGATGCGATCTTTCGACCGAGATAGCATGACATAACCCTTTAGCGGGATTGAGAAAAACCCTACAAGCAATGCCAACTCAGATATTAACTCCTTTGCCTGATGATGGAAACTCTCAAACTGGTCACCAGCATGAAACCCGCACACGTCAAAGTCGGTAGTATGCAATACAGAGCCATCCTTGAAGATGAGAGTTTCGACGTCAACATCCGTGGCCGGAGGGATCGCACCCACATTTTTCTTTTTACTAACGTTGGGAAATAAATACTCTACCCAAGGAATGCGAGACACAGTATGGTCATGTCCAGTGCTCCCAGTAGTCCTCTGGCAAATGAGGAAGTGACAAACTAGTTCTCGAAAAGCCTCTGCAACGCGAGCATGTGAGAGTAAGTGCTCAACTCCACATTAGTAGGAAAACACTCCTCGTATTGACGATCCCGATCGGTAAATGAGACATCTCAAACATCTAGTGAAGAGCAATCCCGATCTGTCCTGTCGGAGTGAAGAAGGTGTTGTTGTCACTATTGTACAGCTCCAAAATATCGTACAAAATCAGCGCACAAATCTCATCACCATACTTGGAAGCTCTAACTACAATATAGAGCCCTGATTCTTGCAATCGCTCCTCAAAAGTGACGAGAGTGATGTCTATCAAGCAAGTTCACCATTGGGTATCCATCGACCTGATCCAACCGGTGAATATGGCATCCCCATCCATATACTGGGCGTCAATTTTAACAAGCTCATTCCCAAAGGTGTTTGGGACGATAACAACTTTGTTAACTGACACTATCCTCCTTATTTGTGAGGTTATAGTATATGAAACAAGGTATGACAAGACACTGCAAGTACATGAAGGAGACCCGATGCTCTATCGCTGGCAAAGTAAATTGGTGGTCTCTCGAAGCATAATACCAATATTCTTCCCCATAGTGGAAGAAAGAGTTGCCTCCAAGGACACTATCTCCAAATAGAAAATGCAGTTTCAGCAACACATCTTAATGAGGCACGGAGAACTTTGCATTAGTAATTATCTCCCACAAAGTCTTATAGCTCCCCATGCGAATAGCCTCAATCCTTTCTTGACTGCTGCCATCGAGAATCAGTGGGATGCTCCTGTCAAAAACATGCATCAACTCAGGATCATGAGACCCATCATGACTGAAATGATTGCGACGATTCACAAAAGCTATTGAATAGGCAACTACAAAAAGATAATAAAATGAGTTAGCAGACGAAGACCAATTCAGCAGCCATACTCAAGAGCAGAGGCGAGCCTCGTTCACAGGCAAAAGTCATCTATATTGACTAAGTGCCTACAAGACGAGGGGAAGCTCAACCAAA